CAAATGGAGCATAAGAGCCCCCTGGTGGCTGAAGAAAAAAATCCATGTATAAGCCGCACCGGTCTATAAGCCGCATGGTTCAAAGTTCAGGAAAAAAGTCGCGGCTTATWGTCCGAAAAATACGGTACTTTTAAACTGAGTGGATTCATGGCCCAGAGAGGGGTCCACTGGGTTTAGCTTGTGATGGCTGTCAGTCAGGTYATATTAATCAGCTGTAGATAAAAATCCAATGATTATTTCCTGAAAAGTCTACAGAAAACCTTGCTATTTTATTCTCTCTATTTGCTGACTGACTTACGTGTGTGTGTGTGTTTGTGTGTGTGTGTGTGTGTGTGTGTCCCTGCAGGAGAGAAGAAGTTTGTGTGCTCCGAGTGCTCCAAGAGGTTCATGCGCAGCGACCACTTGGCCAAGCACATAAAGACTCACCAGAACAAAAAGGGCACCGTCCCCTCCTCCACGCCTCCGCCCACCAGCGACGCCGTCATCACCACGGACGGAACCACGCTCATCCTCCAGACCACCACCGCTCACGACCTTGTAGCCAATCAGGAAATCCCTCTGCAGCTGGTCACTGTGGCGCCTGGTGAGGTTTTGGAATAAAAAGGTGGGACGAGGGGGGATTTCTAAGAACTGGCCAATCAAAGACTTCTTGAGCGTTTCTTTTACCTTCCTCTTTTTTCTCCTTATTTTTTTTTTTTTGTTTGTTTTTGTTTTTTAAACATATGGATATATACGTAAATATATATGACAAATATATATATTTTAAGTGAGAGTTACCTTGACTTTATGTTTGTTTTTTGCAGTCTTTTTATAGGGGTTTAAAAAAAGGACATTAAAATGTGATTGCTATGTACACACGCATAAAACACGAGACAAAAAACAAACACAAATTAACACTCGACATGAAAACTCAACACGAAGAAATGCCTTACTTTGTATTATACTCTTGTATAAAATGCTGGAGGTGCATGTGTGTTTTTTTGTTTGTTTGTTTSTTTTTATATTTGTTTTGTTTTTAAGCTTTGCAGATGATGCAACTGTAACAAAGATGGGGATGCACCGATGCCAGTATCAAGTACCCAATACTTGTATTCCGATAGTACTAATACCACTTTACTGCATCGTGACTTSGGCCTCTAAGCTGAGCAGTCAGGAGGTAGTTCCTCTCCTCATCAGTTAGTGGCAGTAATGCACCATGAAGCTGTTTGCTAGCTGCTAATAAACAACAATTTCAAAGAGAGAAATAAAAGTAAAGCAGACCGCCAAAAAACAAACGATTTTATGAAATATAGACCCAACATGGCACAAAGTTCTATTTATTATTTTTATATTGGTATATGTGCGTTAAAGTTGATGCTTCGTATTTAATAAACACGTTTTGATTCGTTTGAAGTCCAGTCTTAAGAAAATTAAAAATATATTAAAGCTTCTATTTTAGCAGTCAGGTCTAAATATAAACAGCTAAATGTTTTGATTCAGGAACACAGAATCGGTCTGTTAGTACAGGCGCCCCCTGCAGACAAGAGGCTAGTTACTGCAAACATCCTGTTTTTTAATGCGTTTTATATCAAATCAAAATTAAATGTAAACTAAATATATRCAAATACCTCCAGAAAAACAACATAAAAGTATCTAAGATGGAATAAGTCCGACATCAGTTGTATTGAGTCTAAAATGAATAATATTTGTTCAGTTTTACATTTGGTCATGCCTAGGRTTGGGCATAATCGTATCGTGTGCAATTAATCATCAGAAAGTCATTAATCGATTATTTTTTGGCACTTGATGAGTAATACGATTAATTCCGTCAGGCAGAGTCCGCTCGGTGCTCCTCTCTGCTTCAAATATGACGAACATTAAAAAATGAGTTCTGTAATTTATTTATTTATAAAGACAATTATGGCCTGAAGTCTGTAATTTTGACACAATTTGGAACAGATTTTTTGAAGAAATCAAAAAAAAAAGTCCTCTGGACGGGTTCTTCTTTAGTGAAACGTTTCGTCTCTCCTCCAAGAGACTTCTTCAGTCTGAGTTTCAGT